TCGCAATAGGGAAATTGTTTTATCATATTTATGGACTCGGAATAACCCCCACATTTGGGAACATTTTAAGTGACATGTTTCAATCAATGTGCAACACCTCCCCCCTAATCAAATGAAACCCTGTTACTAATTGCATCACCACAAATGACCCTCCTAAATTCTGTCTCTGTATGTGGGCCTGCATGACAAGCTGTGATTCTGACCTTTGAGTCCATCACAGCCCAGATCCCTAGTGGAAGGCTAACCCGAGATGTCCAAGATACAGGATGTCTGATGACATTCAATTTCAGCCATTTACCTTTAGCAACAAAGACAATCATGTCTGTACATCAAAGTGTTCAAATTCATTTCCATCTTTTATTTTCTCTGTCCACAGACAATTACCATGATAATGAGTGAGTGAGTGAGTGAGTGAGTGAGTGGGGTTTAACGCCGCTTTTAACAGTATTCCAGTTATATCATGGTGTCAGCTTAATGTGGGAGGAAAGCCCGAAGTGATGCAGGTCTTAGACGTTTACCATTTCAGTGAAACCCATGAGCACGGGTATGGTGCTGACAAACCTAGAAACATAATCGGGGCGAACCGGGATTCAACCCCACATTCATAGGTTTCTGGCATGCCCAAGGGACGCAACTCTGCACAGCGAATTGCGGCGCCATAGACGACTGGGCCACCCGTGCCCCCGATCTCTTTCTAGCACTGCATCTGCTAACTGAATTATTTACAGACAACCGTTATGGAAAGCTCCTCTCAATGAACAATTAGTTTTGTCAGTATACTCTCCTCAATCACCACAAACTGCTAGAAGTTTAGTGCAGATTGTACTGTTAATCAAGTTAAACTTGAACACAATTACTCGGGTACCTTCCTGCTTATATTCACACCAAGACATTTGGGACTACAAAAAACCGAAGCAAAAGAAGAAACTTTTAAACTGAAATCAAAATTTCGAATGAGAAAACCTGAAAAAATATGTATGTTTGACTTGTCCGTTTTCATTATTCTGGTGACTCCTGAGCTTGGCTCCAAGATATTAGAAAGGTTGCATGGAAAGAAGTTAAGAAGCAATTTTGTTATGGAAACAATGTAACAGGTACTGGTCTAGAGAATCACCATAAGTTCTTTACCATGAAACACATTTACTGTTTCAACATGAAAAACATAAATGTTTTAATAAGAAAAAAGGCTGTGTAGCATCAGACAGTAATTACACTAACACTGGTGGGTTTTACCGGGACAGTGGTCACGGGTAGACTTACAGATTGACTTTTTTCACCGTTCATGCCATCCCTCCCTCAGAGGACGTGATTCAATCAAGAAAAGAGGTTTCTTAGCATGCTTAGTATCAGGGGGCAGAGTAGAGCTGGAACTTTCATACATTGGAGATTATGTGCTCCTTGATATTTGTGTGAGGTGAGCAAGTTCATTTGAGGATATTCTGATTAAATTTGGTGATTTGGAGTTACCTCCCTTGGAGCAAGACTAAGATGGCAGTTGATGACATTTTTCAAATGAAAAACCAAAGGTTGCAATATCACTTGCAGTAACAAAAACAGAGAAGAGATGAGATGAAAACTTTAATTCACGATCCACATAGAAATAGGATCTGGAGGATATTTACACTTGAGACAGCGTAAAGTAATTTGACACAGCATTTGACACTAACCCTAGTTCCATAGCTTGAGGAGACTGTGAGCTAACATAGGCTTAAGTAAGTCACGAGAGATTGCACAGGAAAAGACATCATCCAGTCCATCCTGTTACTTTTCTGCTAACATGGCTAATATACCACGACTGTGCCACGATGACCTATGGTGTTTGGCGTGGGGTGGGGGCAATCACCATCTTGGAATGGAATTGTTAAATCAGCTGAAAAACAACACGACTTGATAGTGCTTTTTCCTGACTGACAACAGTCTGGCAATATTTGTGACAAATATATGCAACTTTATGCCAAACAAGCTTAAATACCTAAGTCCATATTCCAAACTTCATGTGTTTATTTGTGTGTTTGTTGTTTTACACCGCACACAGCAATATTCCCGATATATGACAGTGTCCTGTAAATAATTAAACGTGGATCAGACATTCCATTGATTCATATTGTGAATAAGGATACACGCCATTAGGGTACGATGAAAACAATATCAACCAAATCACCGAGCCTGACCATCCATTCATTTGTTGGCACTAGGGCTGGGACAGGTAACTCGAGTTAATCACGTGATATATTGTCTAATGACTTAAATTATCTGGAACTATATGGTTACACTACAAGTCATTAATGTTCACGTTTCCTTCTGACTAGGCACCCATTCCTTCTGATTTTTCACATGGTTGAATAAAGATAGAACTTAGTCAACTTCAGTGTATGCATGGGCAGTTTGTTTAATACATGTATCTAAATACGTTTTGCCAGGGCTATGCTAAAAATGTTCCCAATCGCACATTTTGAGAACTTTCCTGAGACCGAGAGTCGGTACCCAGGTAGTGAGTGAGTGAGTGAGTGAGTACGGTTTTACGCCACTTCAGCAATATTCCAGCAATATCACGGCGGGGGACACCAGAAATGGGCTTCACACATTGTACCCATGTCGGGAATCGAACCCGGGTCTTCGGCGTGACGAGCGAACGCTTTAACCACTAGGCTACCTGACCGCCCAGGTACCCGGGTAGGATTGGGTAATAGGGTGGCGGGTACCCGGGTAGTGAATTTGGACTCGTCCCAGCCCTAGATGCCACCTCAGGAACAGCATAGGCTGTTGGTGGAAATATTCAAACCCGGAATCCCCTTGGGTCTTCATGATGTGTCGGAATGATCATGTGTCTTGCAAGTACCGTACACTCATGTCATGTGAGTGAGTTTGATTTTATGTCGCTTTTAACAATATTCCAGAAATATCACAGCGGGGGACACCAGATATGGGCTTCACACATTGTACCCATGTCAGGAATTGAACGGAGGTCTTCGGCGTGACAAGCGATTGCTTTAACCACTAGGCTACCCGACCGCCCCTCATGTCATGTCTTGAAACTGTACATAATAGTATGACAATTGGATCCTAGGCCCATATTCATTTATTCAAGAACACATGTTGCTGAGATGAACTGATGTCCATTAGGCAAACCTCTTTTTCACACCTTAATAACCACTGAACTGTTTAAGATTACCATTTTCATTCTTCTCTATTCTGTATCTAGATCTGCTCACCTCCCCCAGCAATTGTCAGTAAAAGTACCCTAATTGGAACATAAAATTGCCAAGATTTGTAATTATGGTAATAACTTTTGTTATAGATTTTGCAGGGGTGACTTGCGTTTCCCTGACAACAGGACCAATAAACAAGTAGCTTTAATGTTCAGTTTTACATTTTTTGCATTGAATGAAACATATTTTAAAAAAATGAATTTAAGAAAATAAGGACTTTTAAGAAAGTCTAAATTTTGAAAATAATTGTTTTTACCCCATTTTGTCCGTCAAGGTCACTAATAGTTTGGATTCCTGGATAAATCCCCTTTTCTTTCATAACCCCATTAGGGCATAAAAATCATCAAATTCTAAAATAATAGTCAACAAAAGAAATGTTCACGTTATTGTCTTGATACCATATATCCCATCAAAAAGCAAACCTGATCCCAAACTGATACAAGTTGTATCCCAGTACAAGCATAGCATTACAACCACCAAGACGAAAAATTCATCAGCAGCTTGCAACAATCCCCCCGACACATGGTCCACATATTCACTTCAGTGGTAAAGTTAACTCTGTCAATCCATGAATCCCACCAGACACTCACAACAATCAACAATATTACATTCCTGCTTCAGTTCGCATCCTTCAGTCCTTCTGTAGCCTACCCTTATCATTATATAGTAATCTGTACATTGGTGGCAACTCCCCAAGCACATGAATTTTTTATAATTTTCTCGAAAAAAACACACATGTCGCTGTTGAAACAGGCCAGAGCCGAACACCACGTGCAACATGTCATGAATAAATAGCTCAAGTGACAAGTGTAAGCGCAGAAAGCAGAAAGATGATTTGACAATGAAATTAACGACGCAATTTATTTTATGATCTTGTTGGCGTTCAACTGTCACGTTCATTATCTTCTTTGAAATTTCTCTACTGGTCCTGACAATCATCATCAAATGTGTTCACAACATTCACATTTCAGATTTTTTCCATGAAATGGATTCTCTTAAAATTCAAAGCAAGTGCTATATCTGCTCTAAAATACAATTAGAATCTAAAGTAATTCCTGTCTGACTTGTCAGAACACAGCGGAGGTTCCTCAGTGCAGGGTTCAAGGAAAATAGACAAAAACAGGTGCATCACTGCAGGTTTAAGAAAGGAACAGGACCCCAATACCCGTGATGCATTGATTGGTTGATTGATCAGTGCTTAACGCTGCAGCCTGCAGGGGTAGACAGCATTGGTCATACCAAACTATTCTGCAGCTCATTTTGGACTCTGGTTCATGTAAAATGACTAGATTTGGGGATAAAACAATTAGTCCCTCCAGATTGGGATCAAGATATTACCTGTAATTCGCTGTGCAGAGTTGCATCCCTTGGGCACGCTAGAAACCTATGATCATGGGTTCGCATCCCGGTTCACCCTGATTATGTTTCTAGGTCTGTCTGCACCATACCCATGCTCGTGGGTTTCACCAAAGTGGAGAGCGTCTGAAGCCTGCACCAGTACAGGTTTTCCTTCCAATTCACCTGACACACTGTGATATAACTGGAGTACTGTTCAATGGGGCGTTAAGCCCAAATTACTCACTCATTCACTCACTCATTCAAGCTATAACATATGATGATACGATACTCATATGCACAGTGAACCGAGATGCACTGAACGCCCAGGGTATAATAATGTTTACATCCCTACCTCCAATATGGCACAATAAGCAGCTCCAACATTGTGCAAAAGTATTATATGCTTTACTACACCGACTGTTCAGCGAGTTACCTCCATGAACCAACTAGTGTTCAATCTGTGTCGCTTCTCACCTTGGGAACTGTCTTAGTTACTAACTCTTCTGATTTTACTGAAACATTAACCCCATATGTAATATCATAAAGGCAGTCAAACCCTCAAAATAACACCCATATAGAAGCAGTCAAAACTTTAACAATACAACACTATAGCGCGGCAATCAAGCCCTCAATGTAACGCTATAGAGGGTCAATCAAACCCTCAATATAATGCTATAGAGGGGCAATGAAACCTCAATATAATGCCATAGAGGGGCAATGAAACCTCAACATAATGCCATAGAGGGGCAATGAAACCTCAACATAATGCCATATAGGGTCAATCAAAACCTCAATATAACACCCATAAAGGGGCAATTAAACCTTCAACATAACACACCATATTGGCAGTCAAGCCCTCAAGTCAAACCCTCAATATAACACCACAGAGGGCCAGTCAAACCCTCAATATAACATTACAAATGGGCAGTGCAACCCAGGAGGCAGGAGGAACTACAGTGTGCTGAATGAAGTGTAAATACCCCACTGATGGTCGTTATACTGGGGAGTAATGGCAATGTCTCAGCTGAAATAATACCGTCATGTTAATTTCACATAACTATCATTCATAACTTTCTGATTACGAATGCATATGAGAGTGAATGACCCGTGAGTGAACCTGGGAGGTCAGCCAGATTCACTGCCGGGGACTCCTCGGCCATGCCCAGTCAGAATGGTCATTATTCTGCCCCTGGACGCTGTCGTCTATTGCAGCATCAATGAGATATATCAAGCCAATATGAACAGACTGAAACTGACAACATTATGCGCTTGGTTACCACTTGAGTGTCTACTGATTGGTTCTCATAACACATCACTGACATCACATACACTCTATATTTACATCGAGAAATCGCCAATTTGGCGTTATTGGCTACTGTATGCTTTGGTTGCCATGTGGAGAAAATTGAAGAAATAGAAATTGACAACATACCGACATGCGTCATAAAAAAAGAGATTTATTGTAATGAAGGTGGTGACAAGTGTTCTCACAAATACTGATTGAGTGGGGCTTGTGTCATCTTCACCTATATCATGGAATCTAGCTTGGTTTGGAGGGATTACTGGACAGCAGAAACAGGACAACATTAGCAAGGGGAGGCTGAGTAGAAGAACATTAGGGAGGGGAGGCTGGGTAGAACATTGGGGAGGGGAGGCTGGGTAGAACATTGGGGAGGCCGGGTAAAACATTGGGGAGGCTGGGCAGAACATAGGGGAGGGGAGGCTGGGCAGAACATTGGGAGGGGAGGCTGCGTTAGAGAACATTGCGGAGGGGAGGCAGGGTAGAACATTGGGGAGGCTGGGCAGAACATTTGGGAGGGGAGGCTGACCACAACATTGGGGACGGGAGGTTGGGCAGAACATTGGGGAGGGGAGGCCGGGTAGAACATTGGGGACCGGAGGCTGGGTAGAACATTGGGGAGGGGAGGCTGGGTAGAACATTGGGGAGGGGAGGCTGGGTAGAACATTGGGGAGGGGAGGCTGGGTAGAACATTGGGGATGGGAGGCTGCGTTGCAGAACATTGGGGAGGGGAGGCAGGGTAGAACATTAGGGAGGCCGGGTAGAACATTGGGGAGGCTGGGCAGAACATAGGGGAGGGGAGGCTGGGCAGAACATTGGGGAGGGGAGGCTGGGCAGAACATAGGGGAGGGGAGGCTGGGCAGAACATTGGGAGGGGAGGCTGCGTTAGAGAACATTGCGGAGGGGAGGCAGGGTAGAACATTGGGGAGGCTGGGCAGAACATTTGGGAGGGGAGGCTGGGCACAACATTGGGGACGGGAGGTTGGGCAGAACATTGGGGAGGGGAGGCCGGGTAGAACATTGGGGACCGGAGGCTGGGTAGAACATTGGGGAGGGGAGGCTGGGTAGAACATTGGGGAGGGGAGGCTGGGTAGAACATTGGGGATGGGAGGCTGCGTTGCAGAACATTGGGGAGGGGAGGCAGGGTAGAACATTAGGGAGGCCGGGTAGAACATTGGGGAGGCTGGGCAGAACATAGGGGAGGAGAGGCTGGGCAGAACATTGGGGAGGGGAGGCTGGGCAGAACATAGGGGAGGGGAGGCTGGGCAGAACATTGGGAGGGGAGGCTGCGTTAGAGAACATTGCGGAGGGGAGGCAGGGTAGAACATTGGGGAGGCTGGGCAGAACATTTGGGAGGGGAGGCTGGGCACAACATTGGGGACGGGAGGTTGGGCAGAACATTGGGGAGGGGAGGCCGGGTAGAACATTGGGGACCGGAGGCTGGGTAGAACATTGGGGAGGGGAGGCTGGGTAGAACATTGGGGAGGGGAGGCTGGGTAGAACATTGGGGAGGGGAGGCTGGGTAGAACATTGGGGATGGGAGGCTGCGTTGCAGAACATTGGGGAGGGGAGGCAGGGTAGAACATTAGGGAGGCCGGGTAGAACATTGGGGAGGCTGGGCAGAACATAGGGGAGGGGAGGCTGGGCAGAACATTGGGGAGGGGAGGCTGGGCAGAACATAGGGGAGGGGAGGCTGGGCAGAACATAGGGGAGGGGAGGCTGGGCAGAACATTGGGAGGGGAGGCTGCGTTGCAGAACATTGGGGAGGGGAGGCTTGGTACAACATTAGGGAGGGGAGGTTGGGTCGCAGAACATTGGGGAGGCTGGGCAGAACATTAGGGACGGGAGGCTGGGTAGAACATTGGGGAGGGGAGGCTGGGCAGAACATTGGGGAGGGGAGGCCGGGTAGAACATTGGGGACCGGAGGCTTGGTAGAACATTGGGGAGGGGAGGCTGGGTAGAACATTGGGGACGGGAGGCTGGGTAGAACATTGGGGAGGGGAGGCCGGGTAGAACATTGGGGACGGGAGGCTGGGTAGAACATTGGGGAGGGGAGGCCGGGTAGAACATTGGGGAGGGGAGGCTGGGTAGAACATTGGGGACGGGAGGCTGGGTAGAACATTGGGGAGGGGAGGCTGGGTAGAACATTGGGGAGGGGAGGCCGGGTAGAACATTGGGGAGGGGAGGGGAGGCTGGGTAGAACATTGGGGGCTGGGCAGAACATTAGGGATGGGGTATTCAACATCTACTATCATCTCACAATCTGCTACTGTTAAATGTTTTTAAGATGACAAGAAATATATATCCAGATGGCTGGCAATATTACATCTTCAAGATTGGTTAGTTTGTTGTTTTACGCCCCACTAAGCAATATTCCAGCTATATGACGGCGGTCTGTAAAAAATCGAGTCTGGACCAGACAATCCAGTGATTGATATCATGAGCATACATCTTCAAGAATATTTTAGCTTTAAAATAGACACTTTCTTGACTTTCATGGAGTTTCTGGAATGTCAAAGTTGTTAGTCACTCTTTCTGTATTTAATTCACAAATTGTTATTTACAGAGACTCATCATGCACTATATAATTTTTTCCATCCTGATTTCACATATATACTTTCCATATATAACTTACAAAAACAAGCTTTGTTCACATAACATGTCCTTATATCATCACAAATTCTGACTTCACTGAAGATGCTCTATTCAAATTATAACTTAAAAATATTACTTCCCCATTTTAACATGTTTATAATTTCAAATAAATACATCATTTACAAATATAATACTTTCCTTACACGATGTCTGTTCACAAACACTTTCAGAAACATTCTGACCCATAAACTTTGGAAAGTTCAAGGCATCTTAGTTCTGGATATGACAAACAGTTCTGTACTTAAACGAAGTGTCTCAAACATATTTTTGTTCCATTAATCAATACTTCAATTTTTGCCTGTGACTTCCTCCAATTTTACACAATGAGATTTGACATTATTATTCATGACAAAATTATTTGCAGAAAACTAGATGGACAGGTGTGGATTAAAAACTGACAATGATTTCAATAAAAACATCGGAATCAATCAACGTCACCATAATCAAGGATTGATAAAAAATATCAGATTTACCCAATCTTGAACTGCCAGACAAAAACCTCTTGGGCAACAACAGCTGAAGTGAAGAGAATTCCCTGCTAGCTCAATGTTTGCCCTGTTGTATATGTACAACTTAAAAAAACAAAATGAAGCAAGTTATAAAACTTTCGGAAGAAAAAAACCAAGAAAACGAACCATTCTTCGAGATTTTTTTTCCATTTCCTTGGTAATACAATCAATGTGAATGAGCATAGAAGAAAATTCAGTTTGGTTTATGTACAGCGACATTTAACATACATGAACGCATTACGTTTTGCAGATTTGGTAATTTGATTTTGCTCATTTGTTCAACCCTATTGATCATTAACTGAATTGAACATCACAAAGTCAAGAGCAGTGGGAGGGGGAAGCTGAAGGAATAAAGATTTCATTTTCTGAAACCATGGATGTACAATCAAACAAGATGATGCCATTTATCAATCATGGACATCACTTGACTCTAAATATGGTCATCGAGGAACATGTGCTGGTCAAGCGATTTATTGCAGACCGGGAGATTATGGCCGTGTCTCGGGAGATTTGAGCTGATCAAAGATTGTGATTTCGAGAATCAACATTGATCAAGTTTCCTTAAATCATGTTTATCAGATCCTAATTCAGACAGCGGTCACTACTGGTCAGTTCCGATCGAGTTAGAGAAATATGAATCTTCGCACAATGAACGATGACTCGAATGAGAAGCATATATCAGTACTGTATGACTGAGAAAACTGAATTAGCTGATTGGTTTATATCGCAGCCAATGTAGTCAATGTGCAAAGCAATCAGGACTGAACATTTCCTGGTGTCGCGAGACTTAAATTATTGGACGATATTAGGCTTTATAATATCTGAGTGTCATATAGGAATGAAATATTCAGCGCCACAGAGAGCTCTAGACACTGATTTATCTACGAATGGTCTGATGGTGAAGGTGCAAGGTTTATAAGTAAGTCAGCATGTTAGCTTGGTTTTATATTATTTTAATAATGCACTGTATATGTAACCAAGATGTGAGTGATGGAGTGAGTGAGAGTGCGTGAGTGCGTGCGTGCGTGAGTGAGTGAGTGAGTGAGTGAGTGTGAGAGTGTGAGTGTGAGAGTGAGTGAGTGAGTGAGTGAGCGAGTCTGCGAGAGATATTCTTGCCCCATCAGCACCAGAGATTTATTTTCCAAAGTGTCAAACATTGGTAAGCAATTTGGGGGAAATTATATTTTATTCAAAAATAGCATTTTTAAGGTTCTTATTTTTGTAAATTCAGAGGCATTTCAACATTCTCATTAAACTTTACATTCAATCCAGTAATGTAAAAACGAAGCATTAAAGCCTTCTCTTTATGAAGGAAATACAATATCCTGTGAAATACAAGTCACCTGTACAAGGCCATAACATTAACATGACTCCCCAGGGAGCTGAGAATGAGAAACAAGAGCACACTGATCCAATGACTAGGGCAATAATAATGTTGCGCTGAGCAGGTCAAAATAAATCTGTAAAATTCAAGTCTTGACCGGGCAAGCCAGTTATAGTTTAAAGCAGTGAGTGAGTATGGTTTTACGCAGCTTTTATGTTTTAGCATTATCACGTGGGGAACACCAGAAATGGGCCTATCACATTGTACCCATAATGGGAATCCCTGGGGTCATGACAAGGTCGGTGTTTCAAGATTTCAAGTAAGGCGGTGAGGTGAAATGGGGTTTAACATTTTTTGCACTTGTATAGAGAATTGCCTGCATGTGCATGTGTGTGTGTGTGCGTGCGCGTGCGTGCGCTTGAACTACTCCAGACTTAAGATGTAATAGTGCTAGACCACTGAGATACCACACCGCAGTTTAACATGAATACCCCACTCAGACACACTATATTGTCTATGAGCCGACCAGTCCTTGTTTTTAGCCCCTCAATGCCGAGCGCAAGGCAGGGAAACAACAAGTACCATCTTTTAATGTCTCTTGGTATGAAACGGATGGGGTATGAACCAGGAACCTTAGCTCCCCAAGCAGACACTCTACCAATAGATAACAGAGGTGGTCTTTCAAGGGAGGATAAGATAAGAAGCCAATAGCCTCCTTGGAGACAAACTGAACTTTGAGTGCTGTGATGTGCACAGTCAGAGTGAGGAACGTTTTACACAGCTTTTAGCAATACTCCAGCAATATCACAGCAGGGGACACCAGAAATGGGCTTCACACATTGTAACCATGTTGGGATTCGAACCTTGGTCTTCGGTGTGACGAGCAAACGCTTTAACCACTAGGCAATCCAACTGCCCCGTGTGGAACAGAGTGCAGAGTGATTGAAGACAGTTTGTTTGGAACATAAAGTGTGGGCTTCACACACTGTAAACAGGAATCAAACCCAGGTATTAATCCTATGGGTGCTACACTGTAACCACCCGCCTACCCAATCAGTCCATGAATACAAGCTCTGAGCAAGTGGTTATGCTGCTTGTTTGCTGTTGTAGTGTTGACAAATGTACTCAGGGTGTGTGCTCCAGACAAGCCAACACTCCAAGAGTACCAGGCTACATTCCCCAACAGCTGAGTTCTCATTGGGAAGCTGGGGGTGTTAGTGTGAGTGCTGACTAACCACTAACCACTAACCACCAACCAACCATTGCACCCACTAGTCCACCCAACACTGGGAATGACCATTTGTTTGGATTGGACCAGGTGAGGTGAGGTGAAGTGAAATTGGGTTTAACTTCAAGTCCAATATTATTGCATCTACATAGCGACATGTAGCGACATGCATGCGTGTGTGAGTGTGAGTGTGTGTGAGTGAGTGTGTGATTGTGCTTGTACTAGTCTGGACTGATACCAATTATTAGTACTAGCTCACTGAGATACCATGCCACAGTTTTATCATGAATACCCAACCCAGACACAGTATACGGACTCCGAGCTGACCAGTCCTTGTTTAAGCCCCTTTATGCTGAGTGCTAGACAGGGTAACAACAAGTACCATCTTTTAACGTCTTTTGGTAAGACACGGCCGGGGTTCGAACCCCGGACCTTCCGATCTCAGAGCGGACGCTCTACCACTCGACCACAGAGGCGCTAGGATTGGACCATGATGTTACGGTGGGGTTCTCACCAGTAAAAACAAGTCAGATTAAATTTTATTAAACTATATTGTCATGATTATATTGCAACCGTCAAATGTGAAAAATGGGCCTCTTGCCAATTTACTTTTCCCTCGGCATACATAAGTGTGTCCTTTGTTATTCTTTGTGGTTTAAAGTTGCTCTGGAAAATAATCCAGTTACATGATGGTGTAGCGGACATAAAATTTCAGAGTCCCATGATAGAATTCGAACCAGGGACCTTCTGATCCAACGTCGGACGCCTTGTCTACATGACCAAAGAGGTTAACCCCGTTGGCAAGCTGATAAGGTACGGATGTCATCTGAGGGATGACTTCATCCCTGCTACAATAGCAGCATGTAATTACTCCAGCCTGGGCCAGACAATCCTGTGATTGATATTGCAAGCAACGATTCACACTCTTGGGGGGTGGGGGAGGATCAGGCCACCAGATTCATTGAGTCGCCTCTCTTCGGACAATTTTAACCCACAATCCCAGAGGTCATGTTGTGGTTGTGATTTCAAAGACCAGAACAGTGTCACCATATAACTGAAAATGGCGTCTCAAACCCTCAATTTAGATTGTTTCCGGTTAATGTCCAATATGGTTTGGTCGAATACATTCAGTGTCACCCACGTACACCCCTGGTAATGACCCACAATTTTACCATTTCCATACTCAAAGATGTGTCATATCCAATATCTGTTGAAATACATTAACGGTTCATATCATTCACCATCAGTTCATAATCGACGGAGAATTATTTGTATATGTTCAATAAAGGGTAATTATCATAAACAACAGCGAAAACCACCCCATTCCTTATCGAATCTATGGCGACAATGAAGGCAATAATGAGCTCATGGCGGTCTTGGAATCGGCGACATAACCTACCTTACAGCGTCTGGAACGCATCAAATTTTACTTGCAACACGGTAAGGCTTCAATCAAGTAATTAGGAAATATATTCCATCACAAACATGA